AAAATTTTTTTAAATAAAAAAATAAAATGAAATCAAATAAAAACATAAGGCGCCTAGGTGGCTTAGTCCGTTAAGCCTCCGACTTCGGCTCAGGTCATGATCTCGCGGTTCGTGGGTTCGAACCCCGCGTTGGGCTCTGTGCCGACAGCTCGGAGCCTGGAGCCTGCTTCGGATTCTGTCTCTCCTCTCTCTGCCCCTCCCCCACTTGTGCTCTGTCTCTCTCAAAAATAAATCGTTAAAAAAAAAAAGGTACAGAGAACTTTTTCCCCCCGTTTTGAGAAGTTTTATTTCAAAACAGTTGTTTTGAGGACAGAACATAACGATAGAGTAGCTCCCAAACGTGATTTTTAAGTGATACCTACACCAACGCGGGGCTCGAATTCACGACCCCTCCACCGACTGAGCCAGCCAGGTGTCCCCACCTCCAACGGGATTTTGTCTTTTTGAAGTCGCCGTTTGCCTGCCTCTATCCCCAGTCCTTAAGGACTCAGGTTGTTTGACAGGATGAACAATTTTTTAACACACACACACACGCACAAAAGTACAATGTCCATTCAGAGCAAAACAGGAAATAAAGGATAGTGAACGTGGGCTGAGGATTTGGCAGAAATTGCAGACGTCTTCGAAACGCTGCTCTGAGTCCTAATGACACGCGATGTTTCCAGAATGGTTGAGTTAGAGTTCTGTCGCCGCTCCCGCCCCGGGGGGCCCCCCCCCCAGCCATCTTCTCCGGAGGGCCTGTGCTATAACGAGAAGCCTTTGTGTGCTACCGGGTTACTCGGTCGAGTGTAGGCAAGGCCGCCAGAGGAAGGGTGGTTGTGACGCCACGCGTTCGGAAAGGGAGGCGTCGGTCACCCGGCTTCCCCCGCTGGGCCCTGAGGCCTCCGGCCGCTCTCTCTTGTCGCCCTCTCAGTGCCTGGGCTATGTTCCTGGACCGGCCCCAGCAGCGGCTCCAGCTTGTCCTCCTCCCCCCGGCCCTGTTCATCCCCGCCACCGAGGATGAGCAGGAACGGGTGGCCTTGGCCAGAGCGGTGCCCAGGAATGTCCAGCCGCACGTGGTGTACGAGGAGGTCACCGACGTGTGGATCAACGTAAGCGTGGGGAGACGCCGGGTGTTGCGCCCCCCCTCCCCCACCCGGGGCCCCCAGATCTCCGGCGGGGCGGGGGCGGGGCAGCGGGCCGAGTTCGCCTTCCACGGACGGACGGACGGACGGACGGACGCCTGGCCACGCGGCGGCGGCCCGCCTGCTGACGCACGTTCCGTCTTCTGCCCGGGCAGGTTCATGACATCTTCTACCCGTTCCCCCAGTCCGAGGGAGAGGGCGAGCTCTGCTTCCTCCGTGCCAACGAGTGCAAGACCGGCTTCTGCCACTTGTACAAGGTCACCGCCATCTTAAAGCCCGGAGGCTACGACTGGAGTGAGCCCTTCAGCCCCGGGGAAGGTGAGCAAAGCCCGACTGACCCCGCCCCGCGAGCGTGAGCTGTCCGCGAAGGGGCGGGGGTGGGAGGAGTCAGAAAGCCAGCCTCTCTGGAACATGTTTCGCGGCCTGGCAGGGGTTCTCGCAGCCGACAGTCTGTTCATCCGGTCGGTAGCGTGTATTCAGCGCCGACCACGTGCCAGGCCCTTCTCACACCAGGGGCGGGCACACCGCGGCCACAGATCAAATCCGGCCCACTGCCCATTTTTGCAAATAAAGGTTTATTGGCACACGGTCGCACTCATTCATTTACAGGCTGTCTGTGGCTGATCTCATGCCGCGGTGACAGAGTTGAGTAGGGAGGCGACAGTGTGACATATGTCTTGCATCGCTGAAAACATGTGCTGTTTGGCCCCTTATGGGAAAAGCGGCCGGCCCCTGCTCTAGGTGCCAGGGGTGTGAATCTAAAGAGAGAAAGGAAAAGCCCTGCTCTTGTGGAACTCTCTAGCGGAGGAGGGTGGGCAGTCATCCGAAAGCGAGTGAAGACCTTACCTCGGGGTGAGTGTGGGAGCACGTGCAGCGGGACAGGAGGTTAGAGAGTGAGGGGCCTCCTTTCTAGCGGGGGGGTCGGAGGGACGTCTCTGCCGACGGGTCACGCGCAGAGACCCGGAACAGGTGGCCGAGGCAGCCACACAGATCATTCCAGGTGGAGGGCACAGCCTGTGCAGAGGTCCTGGGGCAGCAGCTGCCTGGCCTGGTGGACACACTGGAGAAGAGTGAGCTGGGGGAGGGAGGGAGGAGAGGGGCCAGGGCACGTTGCACCGGGCCTTGGGGGCCTCAGGGAGGACTTGGGCTTTTACCACTGACCTCACATCAGTTTAAGCTGTTCCTGGGGTTGCTGTGTGGAGTGGGCCAACCCAGGCGGATTCGGTTCTGGATGCACTTTGACCTCTGAGTCAGCAGTCTGCCGGTGGATTGGATGTAGGGTCTGAGAGAGAAACCCGAAGGTTTTTGGAGTGTCAGCGTGAGACAGAAAGAGTGCGGGAGGGACAGATTTAGGAGAGAAACGTCCAGTTGGGGTTTGGATGTGTGCACGTCAGTGCCCGGGAGTGGACATGCTGTGTGGGCAGGTCTGCGTCCCTGGAGTCCCAGGGAGCAGAAGGATACCCGCAGCGGGTACGCGGGGGTCCTCACGCAGATGGCATCTCGGCCTCGGGACGGGGTGGGGAAGCAGCACGGGCTGAGAGCCAGCCAGAGCCCCTCCGGCACCCCACCCCCGGCCACGGCGGACGCTGGGCCGGGTGGTCCTCAGCGGGACGTCGTAGGCTCTCTCGGGGGCTGAGCGGCATCCCTGACCCCTCCCCCCGCCCACTCAGTGCCAGGAGCCCCCCTCGTGACGGCCCCAGACGTCCCCGACGTCGCCCAGCGTCCCCCAGCGTGGAGTCAGCTCCCGCACAGGGAATGGAGCCCTGAGAGCGTGTGGTGTCCGGGGAGCCCCGCCCGAGCGTCAGGAACAGGCGAAGCCTCGAACTGATGGGCCTCGAGTAAGACGGCAACAGAGGAGTGACTGCTGTCTCGGGGACCTGTCACTGCTGTCACTCGGGGTGCAACACAGCACGGGCTGGCTCGGCCGTCCTGAAGGCGGGCTCCCTGTGGCTCACTGCTCTTGAGTTTTCCCGCCGTGTGTTCCTCTGACTTGGCCGCCACCACCTGATGTGAGCTCGGGAGCCTTCGCTTGGAACAGCCTCATTCCTGCCTGTGGTGGTCGCTGGGTGGAGCTCGTGGCAGGCGCCCCTCAGGGACCTCCTGCCTTTGCAGTGGGCACGCCAGCTCTCCCACCCCGTGCGGCCCGCCTGGTCCCCAGCTCGCGCTTACCATCGCGTGGCTCGTGCCTGCTAGGCGGCCGTTGGGTAGCCGAGAAGGCGAGACCTCGGTCACCTTGGACCAGAAGCCATGAGTTCTTGAAAGTTGCCATCGGGGCGCCTGGGGAAGAGGAGGGAAGGTCAGGACCCTGGGGCGCCAGCCAGAAGCGGGATGCCGGCTGGGGCAGTGTGTCCAGGCCGCGCGAGGGGCCCTTCGCGGCAGAGGGTCCTGCGAGAGAGGGCCGAGCAGGTGTGGTGGGTGGCCCCTCCACGGAGAAGTGTGGCCTTGAACCCGGAAGGCTGAGAGGACGCGGCAGCCGGGAGGGCGGCGCATGGCCAGCCGTCAGCGGGTGCGCCGGGTCCTTCCCCAAGGGGCGGGGCTCCAACGGCGGCCACGAGAGGTTCCACTCCCCGCCCTGCACCCGCTCCCTGCAGGCCCGACGCCAGACGGGCTCCGGTAAGGATCTGAAGGAGCGAAAAGTCAGCCGTGTCCAGCCTCCGCGAGCGGGGACCGTGGGAGGAGCGTCCCTCCCTCCCAGATCCAGCTGTGACCAGTCTCTGGGCCCAGATCTCTGCAGCAGGAGTCGATGTCTGCCGGGCCTCTGTCAGGCGGGCACGGCATGAAACCGCCGTCACTCGTAAACCGTCTTAATAAATTTGTAACGCGTGCCTACTAGCATCCGTAGTTATTTACCTGATGGAAATTCAAAAGTGAGATCTACCAAAACAACAAAAACCCCAAAGGTCTGTCATAGGATCTCAGCTGAGCCTTTGCTCAGCCCAAGTGTTCTAATCAAGACCTCGTTCTTCAAAACCTAACACGTTCTGAGAGGTCACCGGACGAGAGTCCAGAAGTCGCTGGTTTGGCCCGTGCCGGGTTCTAAAATCGGTGCTTCCGGTACAAACGCAGAGGTCTGGTTTCCCCCGGGAGGTGCCAGCACCCTGCACTGGCCCCGCACCTTACCGTGTCCCAGGCTCGGCTGGCTTGGCCTCGCCTCCCTCCTCCCTCCTGGCCCCGGCCGCCTGGGCTCCGGTGGAGTTTGGCCTCAGTGCCTTTGCGTCCCCTTCACGGCTTCCTGGGCCCCTTTCACCTCTTCCTCTCCTTACTTGCAGATGAATTTAAGTGCCCCATCAAGGAGGAGATCGCGCTGACTAGCGGCGAGTGGGAGGTTTTGGCAAGGCACGGCTCCAAGGTACCAGAATCTCTTTGCAACCCTCCCCGCCCGCCCTGCACGCACGCTTGTATACACACACGTGCACAGACACACGCGTGCGCACGCTTCAGCTGCCCTGCCGACCCCGTGTGCCTGTGGCTTCTCTCTTCCCTCCTGGCTGCGTCCTCCTCCTGCTCTGCTCCGCCCGGCTCCGTCCACGGCTCCCGCGGGCCCAGGGCCGCGGGGCTCCTCTTCCGGCCAGCCGGAGACAGCCCCGGTCCAGGAATCGGGGGCTGCTCTGTGCACCTGTTGCATCCCGTTAGCCTTCCCCCGCTCCATGAGACCACCTCTCCCTGGGAGAGCAGCTTATGGGACACTTGTCCTGCAGCTTCTGGGCATCGTAAGGACGTGGCAGGACTTGCCTCTGACCAAATCTTCACCTGGGTCCAGTTCTACAAAATTCCAGATATTATGGAGAAACCTCTTTTTTTTTTTTTTTTTTAGTGTTTGTTTTAGTGTTTTATTTTTGGGCGAGAGAGAGAGAGAGCGCGCGTGCGTGAGCACACAGAGGTGGGGGAGGGGCAGAGAGACAGGGAGACACAGAATCCGAAGCAGGCTCCAGGCTCCGAGCCATCAGCACAGAGCCCGACGCGGGGCTTGAACTCATGAACCGTGAAATCATGACCTGAGTCAAAGTCGGACGCTTAACTGACTGGGCCACCTAGGTGCCCCAGCTTTTACGTTTTATTTATTTTTAAGTTTTTTATAAGTTTATTTAGTTTGAGAGTGAGAGAGAGCAAGCAAGAGCGGGTTAGGGGCAGGGAGAGAGAGGGAGAGAATCCGAGGCCGGCTCCACGCCATCAGCGCAGAGCCCGACGCGGGGCTCGAACCCACGAACCGCGAGATCATGACCCGAGCCGAAGTCGGATGCTCAACCGACTGAGCCACCTGGGCCTTTCAGTGGAGAGAGCTCTTAATCAGACTTCCTGTGTCCCTTCTTCACACCAGCATAAGTGCCTCCTGGACCAAAAGCAGACGTGAGAGATGTTAGCACACGTGCGTGCCTCACAGGGCTGTCTGTGCAGCCGCAGTGGTTAGTGAGCACTTAAGTGAGCAAGCGAGCAGTGACGTGGATAGGTCTAGGTCCCTTAGACACGGGCGTTGATTAGAGCACGACCTCCCCCGCCCGCGGACCCCTCTAATGACTCGGAAGGACGCCCCTGTGGATTGTTGGAAGGAAGCCGGTGGGGACGCCACGTGGTACGTGCGCGGTCCTGATTCTGTCAGATTTCACACCCCGCTCTGACTTGCGAGGCGAGGTCGGGAGGTCGGGTGCCAGAAGGTTAAAGGCTGCCTCGTTGGCTCTGCTACGGTCGATGCACGCGAAGAGGTGCCTCCTGCCTCTCAGCAGCCGGGAGCGAACACTCAGTTCGTCGTCTGTGAAATGGGACCATCGGAGAGCTCTGGTCTGCTCGCGTTTACAGCAGAGTCTCTGCCCCCAGCGGGGCGTCCCGCGCGCCGTGGGGCATCAGCAGCCTCCCCAGCCCCAGCCGCCCCAGGTGTGACAACCACAGAGGTCCCCGGACATCGCCGGATGTCCCCCGAGGGGACCTGAGCCGGAAGCCCCCAGCACAGCGTCTGGCGGACCCACCAGCCAGGATTCTCCCTATCCTCTGCTGCTGGGGGCGTTACAGTGTTTGCTCGCCTGGGTTTTTACCCAGAAGTTAAAAAAAAGCAAAAAAAAAAAAAAAAAAAAAAAAAAAAGCCGTGGCAACACTTGATGTTATTTTTAACTGAAGTATGGTTGACGACACGGCAGCGCTTAAGACTTACAAAGGGAAGGGAGGGCCTCTCGCGTCCCTTCCGGAGGGTCTGTGCCGCCCGTGCCGTTTGGGGACCTGGGAGGGTCCCGAGCGCCCCCTTCGTGTGCCTCGTCTCACGTGGTGGGTTTTCCAACGACGCCCTGTGTTTCTAGAAAACGTGCATTTGTTTTGAAAGGATGGCGACAGTGGATACGTCGTGTTTGTTGTGCGGACTGAACCGTTCTGAGTGACCCTGCGTTTGCGAATCCCCTCACTTGCCTCACCCCAGACTCCCCGTAACCTCTTCCCCTCGGAGGTGACCGACCACGGTGGAAACCCCGGCAGATCTTTTCTGTTTGCACACAGCTCCACAGGACATCGTTTTAGGGGCTACGCAGGGTGTTTTTTGTTGCTTTTTGTTTGTTTTAGAAAATACGGTTTTACGTGGCCACGGAGCATTGTGCCATAATTTTGAAAGCGATCTGTACTCGGGGATGTTCGAGTCGTTGTCTTTTTTTAGTATTAAGAACACAGCAAAGCCCTCTGGAACAGTTCCCGGGAACATACTTGCTGCATCAGAGGACACACTTTTTTAAGGGTTTTGCCTCCGTGTTACCAGGTCGCGGGGTTGTTTCCTGCTTTCCCCGGAGGCCTCACCATGTCAACATCATACTGGAGTCTGATGGGCGTTCACCCAGGAAGCAGGCTGGGGGGGGGGGGGGGGGGAGGGGGAGGGCCCACTTCTTCACCCTGAGCACCTGGGTCCGAAGGGCGGGCTGACCCCTTGGGGGACCAGGCTTGGGGACTGGGGGGCCCTCAGGCAAGGCCAGCCCCTCCCTCAGCCCCTGTCCCAGGCCCTGTGCCCTCTGCTTCTGCGTCTCTGTCTGGGGGTTGGCATTCCGACTTCAAGTCCTCCCAGAGGACACCCGGCGAGCTTAGCGAGGTCGCTGTCCGCTCCTGCCCCACCAGGTCCGAGAGGCGCTTCTCTCCTAGAAAGCTCTTCTCCAGCTGGTGGGCTAAAGAAACTGGGGAGAGGGCGAGTCTCCCCTCCCCAGAACTCTGGGCCCTCCCTGTGGGGGCAGGGAGAAGAGCCTGGGTCTCTCCGCCGGGCATCGGCCCCCTCCCCCAGCCACTGCGGGAGCAAAGGCCTGGGAAGTTCAGGGTCCGGCCTGGGGCTGCTTCACGAGGAGCCCCTGTGTCCCCACAGATCTGGGTCAACGAGGAGACGAAGCTGGTGTACTTCCAAGGTACGAAGGACACGCCCCTGGAGCACCACCTGTACGTGGTCAGCTATGAGTCGGCGGGCGAGATCGTGCGCCTCACCACACCCGGCTTCTCCCACAGCTGCTCCATGAGCCAGGTGGGCACCCCCCCGACGTGCCTGATGGCACCATTCTCGCCCCCCCGCCTTAGCCTGTGGGAACGTTCTAGAAAGTCAGGCCGTGAACGTGCACAGGGCTACTTCCAGTCCAGGGCAAGCGTTTGGTAGTTTGCTGGCTGTAGAGCCAGCGACGTGAGCACGCTCTGGCATCGGAAGGATCTGGGTGTGACCTTGGGTCCATCAGTTACCCCGGGGGGGGGGGGGGTGTGCCCTTGGCCAGAGGACCGATTCCTCTTGGCCTCAGTTTGCTTACCTGTGAAATGGGGGTGCCGGTAATAGCGCCCCTCTCGCAGGGGCAAAGGAGTTTGAAGCTTAAACAAGTGAGCACCCAGGGCAAAGACAGCAAATAGGTTGGTGGGTGACGGGGGGCGGGGAAGGACGCTGGTGTTGTGCGGTGCTCAGCGCCCCGTCCCGCCTACAGAACTTCGACATGTTCATCAGCCACTACAGCAGCGTGGGCACGCCGCCCTGCGTGCACGTCTATAAGCTGAGCGGCCCCGACGACGACCCTCTGCACAAGCAGCCCCGGTTCTGGGCCAGCATGATGGAGGCGGCCAGTGAGTAGCCCCACATCCCCGGGGACCTTGACCGAGGCCCCCACCCCTGCCAGGAGCCTTGGCTTGCCCATCTGTGAAATGGGACGTGACCCTCTCAAGTAACACCGATGAGAGGGGGCCGTCCCGGCAGCCTCGAGGCCATGAGGGGCCCAGGGCCTTGCCTGCTGGCCCCTCCCCGGAGCCCTGAGCGCTCCTCATTGGGCATTACCGGTGGCCCTGACTGTCCCGTGGGGCCTGCCACCTGGACGGCGTCTCATTTCTGCGCTGCCGTCAAGGACGACACCGCACAGGGCGCAGATTCTGCTCACGACCAGCCGCCACACACGGGCAGGCCCTGTGCGGGGCGTCCTCACCCGTGGGCAGCTGTCTCCGAGGGCACCTGCACGCGGCACACGTCCCGAAGGCTTTGTGTGTGGTGGAGCCGGGGGCGGGGGCGCGAGCACAGCCTCGGGGGACACGAGGCATCTTGCCGGTTTGCCCGGGAGCCCGCAGGGTGGCCCCAGAGCCCAATGCTGGCTGTGGAATCCTAGGCAAGGTGGTCAGGCTCCCTCAGATGTGTCCCTTCTCTATGAAATGGCATGATGGCAGGCGGTCCCTAGGAAGAAGGCCTTAATATTCCATACCTCGCCTGGCACACGGGAATCACTCGCTAAAAAAGACACCCTTGCCTGACCCCAGAGCTGCCGTCTGCTAGATTTCCAGAACATTCTAGGTAATGAGAGTCCCTGGTGTTTGTGGGCTGGAAAGCATCTTGTTACATCGTCACGCTCTGGGACCAGCTCGGTCCGTGACGCGCCCCACATCACCACGGACGTGACAGAGCAGGGACTCTGGTCCCAGTTTCACCGACGGGGACACACGGCACAGCAGTGGGGACAGCAGTGGGAAGTCAGGTGTCCCGGCCCCGGGCTTGCAGGCGGGTGGACCGAGGCACCATGTCCCGAAACTCCCGATCTTGCCATGTTTGTAGACCGTCTCTCTGAGAAGTCGGCACGCCGTGGCCTGGGAGCCAGGTCTGGCTGCTCCCGGTCACTTAGGTACCACGTTAGGGCCGCAACAGCAAAGCTGTGTAGTTAAGACACGGAGACAAGAATACTTACCATCTGACCCTTTACACGGAGCAGTTGCCAACCCCCAACCTACCTTACAGTTGACTCGTTTTTCTTTTTAAATTGCCTTCCTCTATCTGCCACCTAAATAAACTTGCGAGATAAGCTTAAAAGGTTTTGCCTCCCTGTCATGATTGGAAAACCAGTGTTGCTTTGCAAAACCAAAGGTGAAAGTCAGAGAAGCAGACGATTAAAACTGGCTGCTACTCAGATCCCAGGGGTGGCGTTGACACCCCCACAGGAGGTCAGATGAGCGGGTGTCAGGGCGCTGTACCCCGGGCACACTCCCAGGACCAGAGTCCCCTCGGGCCCTCGGATTGTCATTTAAACTGTCAGGAAGCACAGAAGGCGCCCTCTGCAGCTGAGGGCCGGCCAGTGGAGCGTGGGTTTCGGCCAGAGCGCTTCGCGGGCGCCCCCGGCCCAAGGAGCCATAGCCGCTGTGTCTCTGCAGGCTGCCCCCCGGATTACGTGCCCCCCGAAATCTTCCATTTCCACACGCGGTCGGACGTGCGGCTCTACGGCATGATCTACAAGCCACACGCCGTGCAGCCGGGAAAGAAGCACCCCACTGTCCTCTTTGTATATGGAGGCCCCCAGGTGGGTGCCAGCCCTGCTCCCCACACCCCCCCTTCCTTCCTTCGTGCCAGGACCTGGGCACCAGCCAGGCCAAAGAAGGGTTAGTGCACGGAGGCCCCGTCCCCAGTGGCTACACGGGATCCTTGGGTCTCTGTACACCCCACCCTCCCACGCAGCCCCCTTCCCCTTCCGCCTGCTGCTGTTCCCTTGTCCCTCTGGGAAACCCCGCTGACACCCATGTGTCCTCCTGGCCCACCTGCCCAGCAGTGACCCCCCTCTCACCCCTGGTCACCAGCTTGGGGACAGAGGTGGCCCTGGGCCCAGTTCTCCAACAAGGGGACAAGACAGGCGCAGGAGGCCGGGTTGGAATTGGGGTCCATCTGAGACAGCAGTTCTCACCCGGGGGTGTTCCGTCCCCCAGGGGATATTTGGCGATGTCTAGGGACATTTGTAGTCATCACGGCTGGGGGTGGGGGCCTGGGTCAGTCAACACCCTGCGGCCCCTGACATGGCCCCCCGTGACGGAGACCGATAAGGCTCCGGACGTCAGTAGGGCCAAAACGAGGAACTGGATGAAGTCAAGTGACTCAGGGAACACAGCTGTCTGGCACGACAGCTCTCGTCTGTTTTCTTAGAGGTAACTGTGGGGTAGAAAGAGGGCAGACTGTGGCTCAAGAAATCGGGGAGTAATTCCAGGGAAGGCCAGTGGCAGAGGCCCTGGCCGAGGAGGGAGCCTGAGCGGGGCTTTCCCTTCTGTTTTCCTGAGCACGGGCTTGGGGCAGAGTGGGCCCGTCTGACCCGCTCCCCCGTGGCTAGAACCCCTCCAGGGCCGTCCGCAGCCTTCACAGCAAAGTACAGGAGCCTCGATGAGGCTGTGAGACCCGCCCCCCGGCCCCGTCCCACCGGCCTCTGGCCCATCCGGCCCCTCCCGCTTGGTGTCACGCACTGGGTGCCTCTCCGCTTGTCCAAAGCTCCATGGTCCCTCCTCGCCTTCCCCTCACAGGTGCAGCTGGTAAACAACTCCTTCAAAGGCATCAAGTATTTGCGGCTCAACACGCTGGCATCCCTGGGCTATGCTGTGGTCGTGATCGATGGCAGGGGCTCGTGTCAGCGGGGGCTTCGGTTCGAAGGAGCCCTGAAAAACCAAATGGTAACATCTCTTCGCGGTCTCTCCGGGCCTTTCTGCGTGGTGAGGGGAGCCCTGGGGTGTGGGGGCGGCCCCGGAGCCCCTCCCTGAGGGTGGGCCTGAATAAGGAGGGCAGCCTTTTGGAGCCGAGGAAGATGTCCACTTTGGTGCTCTCCTTTGAGCGGCACCGCACGGGAGCCAGGTATGCACACATCCCGCCTGGTGCCCGAGGCCCAGATGAGCCAGACACATCAGCACAGGCCCCATCGGCAGGACGTCCCAAGGGCTGCACCAGCCGGGGGCTGGTGGCTATAGAAGCGGTACCGATGGTGACGGCGGTAGTGGTGGTGATGAAGACGAAGGGGATGGTGGTGATGACGGGGGTGATGGCGGTGGTGGTGACGATGGGAATGGTGGTGGTGATGACGAGAATGATAATGGTGGTGGCGATGATGGTGCTGTTGATGGCAATGGTGATGGTGGTGACGATGGGAATGGCGGTGGTGAAGACAGGAATGATGGCGGTGGCGGTGATGAGGATAGAGGTGATGGAGAGGATGGGGATGATGGTGGTGGTGATGATGAAGAGAATGGTGGTGGTGACGGGAATGATGGTGGTGGTGGTGGTGATGGGAATGATGGCGGTGGTGGTTATGGGGATGGAGAGAATGGTGGTGATGATGGGAATGATGGCGGTGGTGGTGACGGGGATTGAGAGGATGGTGATGATGATGGGGATGATGGCGGTGGTGATGGGGATGATGGTGGTGGTGATGATGATGGGAATGATGGCAGTGGTGGTGATGGGGATTGAGAGGATGGGAATGATGATGGGAATGGTGGCGGTGGTGATGGTGATGGAGATGATGAAGGTGATGTTCACTGAGCCCTTAGCAGGTGGCAGCCTCTGAGTGCAGGACACTCAGCGTCCCGTTTCCTGTTTGTGCCCACTGTGAAATGGGCCCTATCATGCTGACATCCTGTTTTAGGGATTAGGAGACAGAGGCCCAGAGAACGGATGTGACTTTCTCAGAGCCAGCCAGGCAGAGGCAGGACAGGGCTGGCGCCGGGCCCGTCTGGCCGCCACCCCAGAGAGCGGGTTCGAACAGGGTCCGGAGAGAGGGTAGCTTCCAGAGACCCGTCTCTGGTCCACAAGGGACGGAGGCGGGACGGCAGGGCGCACGCACGTGCGGAAGGAGTCCTCTGAGAGGTGCCCGGCCTCATCCCTCAGGGCCAGGTGGAGATCGAGGACCAGGTCGAGGGCTTGCAGTTCGTGGCCGAGAAGTACGGCTTCGTCGACCTGAGCCGGGTTGCCATCCACGGGTGGTCGTACGGAGGCTTCCTCTCGCTCATGGGGCTGATCCATAAGCCCCAAGTGTTCAAGGTGGGTGCCGCACCGTCCCCCCCTCCCCGTTTGCTGGCACCCTCCCGTGCCCCTCGGAACCCGCCCCCCCGGAGAGGCATCTCGGCAGGGGCCTTGCCACGTGGCTGTTTCTCCCCGCAGCAGCCCCGTGGGGCCGAGCCCCCCTCCTCATTGCCCGCCACTGCTGACCCCAGGATGGCATCCGGCTGCACAAAACCCCACCAGCAGCTCTCTGTGGGAGGCTGAGCCCGGGACCCCGGCCTCGGATGGGCAGAGGTGGGGCATGGTGTGAAGAGCGTCGGGGGAGGGGCCCCCAGGCCGGCGGCGCTGACAGGGCACCGCGGGGCGGCGATGAGGAGGAGGAGGAGGCAGGAAGGCGGTGGGACCGGGGAGGGGCCGATCCCGGCCTGAACGTACTCGTTCAGCTCACCCGCCCTCCCTCGACGGCGCTCGATCCACAATCCACGGGGGCGCACGGTCTGAGGGCCCCCCCCCCCGCCAGTCCCCCCGCCCCCGTGCATGCACGTTCCTCACGTCCTTCGGGGGAGGCCCCGGGACAGCCGGCAGGTGAGCGAGGGCTCCCGAGACCTGACCTGTGCGTGTGTGTGTCTCCTCTCCTCTCCTCTCTCTCTCTCTCTCTCCCTCTCTCTCCTCTCCCTCTCCCTCCCCCCGCCCCTCTCTGTCTCTCCAACCCCACTCTGTCCACTGTGGCCCTCAGGTGGCCATCGCGGGCGCCCCGGTCACAGTCTGGATGGCCTACGACACCGGCTACACTGAGCGCTACATGGACGTCCCGGAGAACAACCAGCTCGGCTACGAGGCGGGTTCTGTGGCTCTGCACGTGGAGAAGCTGCCCAATGAGTAAGGCCCCGCCCGCTCCAGCCTTCTGGGTCACCAAGGCCCCCTCCCACCCCTGCTTTCTCTCCCACCACCCCTCCCCGGCCCCTGCCGTTTCTGTGTCCGGGAGGCCGCCCCAGGCCGGTCCTCCACGAAGCTGGGTGTCCACGGTGCCTCCCGCCCCCTTGAGGGCCTCCCTGCTTGCTGCCTACCGAGGCAGGTGGGCACCTGGGTGCTCTTGGAGGGAGGAGGCCTCGGCCCTACCCTCAGAATGATGGAAAGAAGGCCCTAGAGTCCCACTGCCTTGCACACGCGGGCCTCCCTCCCTCCCCAAGCACGTGTCCCGCTGTGGGGCCATCGGTCGGTCTTGAACCTGATCGGTCTCTGTTCTGTGGGACTTGACGTGCGGTGGTTCAGGACACAAGTCCACGTACCGAGTCACGCTTTGCTGGTGGCCTTTCTCTGAAGGAAGGAACTGTGTCGCCACCTTCTGGTGTGGCTCTGTCTGGTGAAAGGCTGCCCTGGGCCCACACCTTAGTGCCGGGCACTCCAAGCAGGCTGACCCCACCTGGGCCCCCTGTCCCGGTGAGGCTGCTCTCCTCGGTCTGGAGTGTGGTCCGGGCTCCCTGGGGACAGCCAAGCTGGAACCCCAGTGCTCTGGGCCTGTGCCGCCCAGTACGGAAGCCAGGAGCCGTATGTGGCCACTGAATTTAAGCTCACGTTTGTCCACAGCCACCGAACGAATAACTCCATCGAGGCAGATTGGTGGTTGTGGGAGGCCGGGTTGGGGGAGGGGGGGGGTGCTTTGCCAGAACTGGATGCAGGTGGCAGTCACACAACGCTGATTGGAATGCGCCAAATGCCCCTGAATCGTTCAGTTTAAAATGAGATATTTTTAGGTTATGTGAACTTCACTTCAATAAGTTAGTTTTTAAATTTTTTTTTTTTCAACGTTTATTTATTTTTGGGACAGAGAGAGACAGAGCATGAACGGGGGAGGGGCAGAGAGAGAGGGAGACACAGAATCGGAAACAGGCTCCAGGCTCCGAGCCATCAGCCCAGAGCCTGACGCGGGGCTCGAACTCACGGACCGCGAGATCGTGACCTGGCTGAAGTCGGACGCTTCACCGACTGCGCCACCCAGGCGCCCCAATAAGTTAGTTTTTAAAATCCACTTAAAAAAACAAGCCAACAAACTACTGTTCCTTGGCCACTCTTGCCACATTTTAAGTGCTCAGGAGCCACATGTGGTGATGACTGTGATAACCGCATTCGGTAGGGCAGGTCTAGAACATTCCATCGGCCCACAGCACCGTGGGGCAGCACTGCTCTAAAAACTTCCCCGTAGCTCAGGGCATTCCACACGGAGGGCCCACACACCCGCGCCCCCTCCTTGCCTGGAAGGAGGCGAGGGAGTCTCCAGACCCACCTGTGCCCCCGGTGCCCTCGCGCTCTCCTGGCCGCCCCTGGGGCCGAGTGTGTGAAGAGGGCCCCACCAGACCCTCACTCAGCCTTGTCTTCCAGGCCCAACCGCCTGCTGATCCTGCACGGCTTCCTGGATGAGAACGTGCACTTTTTCCACACGAACTTCCTCGTCTCCCAGCTGATCCGAGCCGGAAAACCTTACCAGCTCCAGGTGGGTGGCCCCTCCCCCTAAATGGCCTCCTCCAACCTTCCCCAGGCCCCGTGTCCGCCGCGTCCATTCAGCGGTCACTACTGATCACTGATGGTGCCCGGGGCCACGCTGCCCTCAGTGCCGGGCACGCCGAGGGGACAGGCCAGACCCACCCCAGCCCAGCCTGGTGGAGAGAGGCCGGTGTTCTGAAAATCCTTGCTCACACGCCATTTTATCTGGAACCGAGAAACGGTACAGGGTGCTGAAAGCATCTGTGTGTGACTGGGCTCAGAGAAGCGCTCCCCCAGGAGGGGACATTTGAGGGTGCTAGAGAGTAGGGATGGGATTCAGCCTGGTGGGGCGGTGGGGGCGGTGGGCAGACACCAGGCTCAGGACGCTGTCAGAGACAGCAGTGCGGGGGCGAAAGACCAGGGTGGATGGAAGGAGCAGGAGAGGAGTTGGGGCCAAGACGGGGCAGAGGGCGGCCCCTCTGGCGAGGGGTGGGGTTTGGGGCAGCAGGCTTCCGCGGCTTATGGGGGGGGGGGGGGGGGGGGGGGGCGGGGCGGGGCTTCAGTGGTGGAGGCGGGGCCTCGGCCTGATTTTGATCAAAGGGTGAGGAGAGGTGTCAGCCAGCTTCCGGAGTGACCAGCCTCTGGCTGCCCTGTGGACAGGGGCCCATGGGAACCAGAGGGAAGTGAGCCATAGCCCGTTGTCGCAGCAGGAAAGGGGCCGGCTGAGCGAGTGGGAGGCCTGGTAGACTCAGGAGGAGTTTGGGAGGCGAGAGGGACAGATTTTATCACAGGCTGCCACCCCCAGATGCCTCCACGCGCCCTGTCCTCGGGGAGTGCCGTGTTGCCAGTTCAACAGATGGGGAAACTGAGGGCCACAGGGCAGTGGGGACGGGCCATAGGGACCTGTGGCTGGGCATGCCTTTCCAGACAGGGCCGGAGGGCAGGCAGAGCTCACTCTTGGGAGGCCCCCCAGCCACACACACGCCACGCTAATAGACCAGAGGCAGCTGCACATCAGGGTGAGGCAGGGCCAGGATGAAACCTCAACTGTCTTTTTTTTTTTTTTTTTTTTTTTGAGAGAGAGAGAGAGAGAGTGCACACACACGTACACACAAGCAGGGAAGGGACGGGGGAGAGAGAGAATCTCAAGCAGGCTTCACCGTCAGCGAGGAACCCGGTGCGGGGCTTGATCTCACGACTGGGAAATCATGACCCAAGTGGAAATCAAAGGTGGACGCTTAACTGACTGAGCCGCCCAGTGCCCCCTCACACATCCTTTTTGAGCATGAGACCCTGAGCCGGGTGGCTGGGATGGCTTCCGTGTGTGGCCGTAGGTGAGGCTTCGAGGGCCAAATGGGTTCTCTCGGGAGAGTGTTGAGCACGCAGGTGGGCCCGTAGTCCTGTACCCCTTGCCTCCCCGGGAGAAGCTGGGGGCAAGCTGAGACACTCCACTGGGGATGGGAGCCTGGCACCTTGTGAAGGAGGTGGAACGCACCCCCCTTTTGTTTCACAGTTGGCTGGGAGCCTGGTGGCCCCAGGCCGTCCTTGTTCACACATCACACTTGTCCCAGGCCAGGCCCGGGGCACAGCGGGGAATGCACAGACCCCTCTCCCTGCCCTCACAGCCAAGAGGAGGAAGAAGTGACCAGGCAGCCAGGACCCAGGCTGGTGTGAAGGGTCTGTCACAGGCAGTGCTGGTGCCCAAAGTGTGGAAGTTGTGAGGCCTGGGAGGACGTAGAGGCAACGGGACTGGGGAGGCAGGTCTTGCTGTCAGGCTGGCAGGTCCTTGCGGAGCTCTGAGCTGGGGACAGTATGATCAGAGTCGGGCTTCATCCAGGGATGGATTAAAGAAGGCAAGGGAGGAGGAGGAGAGACCCCTGGGCACTTGGACATATTCTAGGGTAGTGAGCTGGGGCAGTGGCCATGGGCCTGGAGAGGAAAGAATAGTTCAGTTCACAAACCTGCCTTGCCGGCAGGAAGATGTGAGGAACAGGCCCCCGGCCCTGACACCAGCCAGCCCTGTCCCACTTGAGACCAGAGTTGGGTACTTTGGGAGAGTCTGGAGCAGGTTTCAAAGCTGTCCCGTGAATCCCCATGGTCTGGGGCCTGTTCGAGTGCCAGGGCCCTCATTTCGTGGTCAGAAGCAATGCCCGAAGGCCTGTCGCCGTCCACCCTAGGGCCTGGATGTCAGCTCCACCAGGTCTCAAGGACCGGGTGATTCCTTAGGTGTGGCCCTTGGCACCAACGTGTCACTGCCCCCTGTGGGGATAATGCCCCCTCGGGTGGTAAGACAAGGCCTGGGGCGGGACGCCTGTCCTGGGGGCCTCGGCACGTGCAGTCCTAATGTGGCCTTCCGGTGAAGTCGAAGTGGCCCCAGTGAACAGCAGCAAGTGTCCCTGAGACCTGCTGCAGCGCCCCTCTGTGTCCCCAGGTTTGGGGGGCAGCTCCTAGCTTGGGGGCAGATGCTCGGCGGGTGGAGCCTGGAGCTTGGCGAGCCCTTGAAAGGACCTGCAAAGAAAGGCCCGAGTTGTTCTTCCGGTTTATTTTGGGGGTGGGGCTGCCGTCAGGGAGCTCGGCAGGGGCCCAGGGTTGCACAGCACGTGGGTGGCGATGGGGATTGGAGCCCAGGTCCGCGAGCCCAGCGTACCTGCTCTTTCGTCTCCACGACCCCCCAGGAGCCCAGGGCCGGAGCGGGGAACACAGGATGCCGGGGTGGGTCAGCACCTGGGGCAGAGTCCCTCCGTGCTACCAGCCCTGCCGCCTCTGTCCCCCCAGATCTACCCCAACGAGAGACACAGCATCCGCTGCCCCGAGTCCGGCGAGCACTATGAAGTCACGCTGCTGCACTTTCTACAGGAGTACCTCTGAGCCCCGCGCCCCGGGGCCTGCACATTCAGAGCACAAGTGGCTTCGCCGCCGCCGCCGCCGCCGCCGCCGCCACCGCAGGGGGAGCGGGCGGGAGGGGCCGAGTGGCCCCCGAAGGCCCCTCCCCTCGGCGCCTCCTCCCGCCGCCCCCGCTGGCCAGCCCCGCCCCGGGGCCTCCGCCTTCGCCGCCCCCGCGCCTTTTATCGTTGTTTTAATGCTCCTGGCTGTTTTGCCTGCTGCTTCGCGGTGGCCAGGACGGCGAGATGAGGCCCGCGTCCCAGAGGCGCGTCCTCAAGCCATCCCCTCGTCTCCACGCTGTCCGGGAGCCCCGACTCCGCCGGGCACGGGGCGGGGGTTGTGGAGGGGGGCGAAGACCCTGGGGGGACCGGGCCTCCGTCGCGGGGCCTCCCCACCCGGTCCCCGGCCCCGGCCCGCCGCGCGCCGGCCGCCACCGAAGCATGCGACTGCCTTGCCCTCCAGCCCCGCCCACTTCATGTCGCGTTCTGTTGGGGGGGCGCTTCTGACGACTATTTAAGAGGCCGAGCAGAGCAGAGGGTGCCTAAACCGGGGATGGGGTCCGCCGCCAGCCCCGGGCGGGCTCCCGTCCTCTCCCGGCCCGGAGCGGGGAGCCTCCTGCCCGGCTGTGAAGCGCGCGCAGACCGGGGGCTCCGGGCTTGGGACGGAGCCGTCCCCGCCTCAGGGTTCGCCTTCCCCCTCCCCTCCCCTCCCCGCCAAGACTCCTGCCGGGGGCGGGCGAAAAGGAAAACAAAAGAAGCAAAAAAAAAAAAAAAAAAAAACAACAAAACAAAAACCACACACACAACCGAAAACCCCCACCGGAAACGAACCACCTCTACATATTATGGAAAGAAAATATTTTTGTCGATTCTTATTCTTTTATAATTATGCGTGTAAGAAGTAGACTCATTAAAAAATTCCGGACGGAAGCGCTGCCACCTGCCTAAGGTTCCTTCCCAGCCCCGGGGCCGCTGATGGCCGTGCCTCTGCCTGGGCGGGTCCCGGGAGGCGACGGGGCCTCGAGCTGCCCGGGCTGGAGGGTGCCCCGCCCCCACCAGACTGGCCCCGTCGAGGACAGCCTCGGGGTCCTGATGCAGCCGCTGCAAGTCGCCTAGGGACCCAGCCCAGGACGTCACGGCCGGCCTGGTCCAGCCCACAGGCTTCCTCAGAGCCACAGCGTAAGCCAAGGTACCCTGGCTGCCTTCACTTCCTTTGGTGCCTGTGTTTGTCCAGAGGCTTGACTCCGTGGTTGGGGCATCGGGAAATGCCGACCGAGGAGGGCAGGCCGTTCCCCTCTCACGTCTGACCCAGGGAGACCGGAGACTGCCTGAGCAGGTGGCACTCTGGTACATGAGTTCCTAACAGCAGGATGACCTCTCCTTGCACCTTCACCCTGTCCATACTTCGGGAAGCTCCGCTTTTATTTTTAATGGCTTAAAAAGTATAATAAAACTTGAGTGCAAAAGCAAATATAGAGGAAAGATGCCTTCGCTCCAGACAGGGAATCACATCCCAGTCTCTATTTTTTAACACCTGTATTCTATTCCTGCTTATGAATGTGCCGTAATTTATTTTGCCAGGCACCTATCAAGGGATAACAGGTTATTCGGGGCTTTTTGAATCCGCACAAATCAGGGGTCAACAGACTTCCTCTGTAAAAGGCCAGAGAGTAAATATTTTCGGCTTTGCAGGCCAGACCGGTACAACCACTCTGTTCTCCTGGCCCCAAAGCAGCCACAGACAATATGTAAATGTGTGGGTTTGGCTGCGTGCCAATAAAACCTTCTTTACGAAACCAGGCAGCTGACCAGATTTAACCCCCAGGCTGTGGTTGGCCAGCCCCCAGTATAAGTGATAGCTGTTAACAGTCTTGTACATAGTTTGGGCTTCTGTTTGAGTTTACAGGGGTAACTTCCTAGAACTATCCAAAGGCATATTCGATTTTAGTTTCGAGTATTGCCGAATTGCCTTCCAAAGAGAACACCTCAATGTAAACTTTCCCAATAAGGGTGAAGTACGCCCGTGTCTCCATTTCTTCACCAGAACCACCTGTTATCAATTATTTTTTTATCTTTGCCCGTGAGGTGTGGCATCTCACGGTAATTTTATCTGCGGCAATATTTTCATGTTTTAAGATACTTGTTTACTAGTGACCATTTGCCCACCTTTCTTTTGATCTATTGGCCTCAACGATGTGTGGACACTCTATATATGAAGGAAATCAGTCCCTGGTCATCCATGTTGCAAACTGAACTGTGTTGTTGATCTCCGTGTGTTTTGCAGATAGGAAGCTCAGCCAGTGAATGTTTTAAAAAAATCAGTCCTGGGAATAAGTAGTCTTTCACTTAAAGTGAAGGAGGGGACTGGTCACAAGTCACAGAATGACAGAACCGGTGGGAAAGGACACTGGGCGTGCTCCAGGAGCCTTGACAGCTGGAAACCTGCATTTGTCTCAAAGCAGGAACTCTTCGTCGGAAACTTCTACCCCTGCCTCCCAGTCAGTACTCAAGATTGTCGTGAGACGGCATCCATTGGCCAAACTCCAGTCAGTCACATTCCTACCCTGACAGTGAAGCCCGGAAGTGTCAGTGGGGTGCCAACAGGAAGGAAGGATGGGTGAAGGCCAGCTACAAGAGGTCAAGTGTCCGCTGGCCGAAAGTCTCGGTCGCGGAGGTGGCAGGGAGAGGCATCTGTTTCTTCCAGGCTGATACATGGGCCACTCTTCTCCACCACTGGCGGGGGATCCGTCAGCAGGAGGGTGCCCGGTACTGTCTGAGGTTGCCTGTGCACGGGCTGGCTTGCTTTCCTGCTGGAAAAGCTCCTGTCTTCCCTAACTGGCAGGAACCCACACGTGATGGACACAAAAGCCTGTGTCCTGCTGGTTGAAGCTCTTTCCCGGTTTGTCATTTGCCTAACAGGTTTGTGGTGTTTCAACACGAACAGAAAACAAAAACACACAAAAACTTTAACTCTGGACACACGGGAAGTTGTGAAAATAGTACAGAGAATCCCAGGTACCCTCCGTCCAGCTCACATCTTACCTAACCCTGGGCCATTGTCAAAATCAGGAAACTGACACGAGTGCAATGCAATTAACTAGACTCTATTCCTGATTTGGATTTTATCGGCTTTTACATGTGCTGGCTGGTGAGAGCGTGTATGTGTGTGTGTCTTTTCCTTTCTGTCGCCCGCACAGATTCCTGTAACCAGCACCCCAATCATAATACAAAACTGTTCGTTCTCCAGAAAGGAGCTCCTCCGTGCATCCCGGTTATGTCCACACCCACCCCATTTATGATGTCCTGAGCAGAGACAGAGATGTCCACTGGCATTTGTGTCATCAGATGGTTTCCTTAAGGACTGCCAGAGTTCATGTCATGATTAAAAAGCAGGATCTCTGGAATCACGTTTATTTTTTCTTTCAATCTCTCCAGTATGTGGGGATTTTGCTTTTTTTTTTTTTTTTTTTTAGGCAAAAAGGAAAAACACGCACACGCCAACCTACCTCTCTTCAGTAGGAGACTCAAACAGCACACAATTGAAGTATCTTGTTAGCAACGGCACATGGCCGCTAACCGAATCCTTCACAGTGAGGGGCTAAAGGTCAAACACAGCAGGGGAGGTAATGGGGAAGACATCAGCGGAACCGGAACATGCTCTGCGAAACACAGCAAGACTGTGATCATCTGGTTTCTGGAGCCGGTTTCCTTTCAAAGGGTCCAGAGCAGGCAGCTGCAAGGAGAAAGAGATTTCTTCAAGCAAACAGGTATCCCAAGTCAGGCCAGGCTGCCATTCCCTGAAAATGGCCTTCACCCTCGCGAGGCCCCGAAAGTTGGCACTCGAGCTCAGCTTAGGGGCAACCTGTGAGATTTTCTTTCTGGATTCTGTTCTCTCAAGTCAGGAAGGACCAGGGAAACGAGTTTAATCCTGGACCCTCTGGCCCTCACCATTGTGGTGCTTCCTCGGAAACTCAAGCCACGTATGACCAAAAAAATTGGGGGGGTAAGCTACGATTCAGAGTCCTTGTAAAAAATGTCACCTGCATGTTCTGTTAATTATCCTGACAACCCCGTGAGAGAGGGACTATTTTCTTTTTAGTTTATTCTGAAATAACGTTAGGCTGACAAAAAAGTTGCAGAAATAGTACCGAGTTCCTAGATGCCCTCCACCCAGCTTCCCCTCATGTGAACATCTTAGGTAACCATGGTTCCATCAGGAAATGAGCATCAATACAATACTGTTATGTAATGTGTAGAGGCCATTTCTCTGGTCCAGGATTGTTATGCACGAACCTGTCCCTCCAAAATTCATATGGTGAAAGCTGATGCCCAGGGTGACGGTGTCAGGAGGTGGGGCCTCCGGGAGGAGGTTAGGTCAAGAGGGTGGAGCCCCCGGGATGGGATGAGCACCCCCACAAGAGACGCCCCAGAGAGCGCCCTGCCCCTTGCGCCCTGGGAGGACCGAGGACCCTGAGAATATGAGCACTGAGCTGCCTCCAAACCAGGAGGTGGGCCTCACCTGACGCCAAATCTACCGTTGCCTTGATCTTGAACTTCCGGCCTCCAGAACCCTGAGAGATAAGCATGTGTTTCTTTATAGGCGTCCAGATTGCGCTGTGTTTGTTAGAACAGACTGAACTAAGACAAGGAGCCAATCCAGGAGCCCGCATCGTGTTTTGTTGTCCTGGTCTCCCCATCCTGTGATGGTTCCTCAGCCTTTTTTTTTTTTTTTTTTTTTTTTTTTTTTTTTAGGAGTACTGCCCAGTTACCTTGTGGAATGGCCCTCAGCTTCGGATTCTGTCTGACATTTGCTTATAATTAGATTGAAGTCATGCATGTGGGGCAGGAAGGCTAGAGGCGCCACTGAAAATGCCCTTCTCGGTGCACCCTGTGAGCGGCTCCACGTTGCGGCCTCACTGGCGCCCTTAACTTAGATCACTGGGCTAAAGACGTGTCTTCGTTGTAAAATTACTACTTTTCCCTTTATAACGAATAACTATCTTGGGGGAAAGTACTTTGAGGCTACAGAAATAACCCGTTTCTCATCTTTTCCCCCACTAATTGTTAGATCTGTTAACCTTAAAAAATAAAACTGACAGTTATTTTACCAGTAAAAACAGGAATGGCACAGCACTGCAACCTGGGACAGGCGAACTAAGGACGGCAAAACCATTGGGAAATCTGCAGAACAAGGGAGAGGGATATTATCTTACAGAAGAAAGAGGAACTTGCAAGGGGCTCTTCTAAACAAAAAGTCGGCTGCCCTACCTCGGCGGTGCCAGGTGTGGTGGCTTCTCATTGGCTGGGCTGTGGCTGCCTCTCATTGGCTGGGCTGTGGCTGCCTCTCATTGGCTGCGCTGTGGCTGCCTCTCATTGGCTGCGCTGTTGTGGGGCAAGGGAAAAACTTCCTCTTGCTGGGCCTGCGCAGTAGTGGCTAACACACTGTGGACTTGCGAGGCGCTGGACTTCCTATTGGGCCTGCGATTGACCAGAAGTCCTAGGGTGCAGAGCTTTCCCTGCCGGCCTCCCCATTCCATTCTAAATGAGGTTTCCCGTTATTGAACTTCAGATCCACCCAGGGATCTTGGCTGCAACAATTATAAGGTATTTACCCAATGGCCATCGTCCATTTCCCTCATTCCGTCTACATGTACGAACTGGAAGAGCTGTAAGGTCAGTCGCAAGGCTAGGAATGGAGGCAGGAAGGCAGTCTATGGCCACTCCCCCCCCCCGGAGACGCCCCCTGGAAGCCTAAGCCCCGCCCCAACATGGCGGTCAGAGCCGGGGAAGGGGCGGGGCGCGCCTGGTCACGTGCCCGCGCCGCCGCCGACGTGGCCTCCAGCGGTCGCCCCACGTGTCCCTTGCCGCGTCCCGTCGCCACCCTGCCCTGCGGATCCGATCCCAACATGGCGGCGCCCAGCAAAAGGAGGAACGGCGAAGGCGCGAGCTGGTGGGCTGCGTTGCTCCTGGCGGCTGTGGCGTTGAGGCCGGGGGAGGCGGTGTCCGAGCCCACGACGGTGGCGTTCGACGTGCGACCTGGCGGCGTCGTGCACTCTTTCTCCCAGAACGCGGGCCCGGGGGTACGTATCGCCGCCGCCCCGGGGGCTTGAGCGGTGGCGCCGGTGGGGGCGGGTCCTGAGAAGGGGGCCTGGACCGTCAGGGGCGGGGCCTGGCTTGGGAAGGGACTCTGGGGGTGCGGTCATCACGGAGATAGGGTTGAATTTACGCGGAGCGGGACTTCCTGGGGTCTGGCGACTTGGAGGGGGTGGGCCACTAGCCTCGGTCCCTGTTTCCTCTCGCGTGCCTCGCGTGCGCTAGCGGCCCTAACTCCCAGACCGGGCGAGTCCCCGGCCACTGGAGGGCAGAGCCGGCCCAGAAGTGGGGGGAGAGGAGGCCGGGGGGGGGGGTTCTTCACCTCCAGGCCCTGCAGAGGGTCAGCCTCGCTGCGGCTCTGACTGCGGAGGAGGTGGACAGACGTTGCCCCTTCTCCACTGCACAAGGAGAAGGATGTCCTTCAACCCTTTCACCGAGGTGGGAGGCTAGGCCCTCCTTAGCCGTCAGTCAGCAAGCCTGGGGCTAGCCCAGCGCTGCCCCTAGCTCGTTGGAGAAACCCTTTTCCTCCCATCTTCATTTTCCCTGTCTGTTACAGGTGTCACTAGCTGCGATGTACCACTTCCCCATAGCCAGATGTCGCCCCAAGTGCTTTATTTGCTAGGACCGTTTCACAGATGAGGAAAACAGACTCAGCAAAGTTTTCACTTGTCTGAGGCCCACAGCAGAGCAGAGAAGGGCCTCCTGGTGCCCCTGCTTCCAGAGTCCCCAGATGGGTGGGTGCCTGGAGGGTGGGGGACTTCCCCCTTCCTGTTCTCCATCCCCCAGAAGCCACGTGGGCTGTTTGTCCTGACTTAGGAGCTCACTAGCAGGGAGACAGGCAGGGGAGTTCTAGGTCTGTAGACCCTGGGAGGCCCTGTGGGGCTGGCCTCCAGGCACATCAGCCAAGAATCGGGCTCTACCTCCTGTCCTTAGTGCAGATGTTCAAAAGCCGGATGTTATTTATTTTTTTAATTTTATTTGTTAGCATTATTTTGTTAGTAATTAGTATTTTTTAAATGTTTATTTACTTTTGAAAGAGCATGAGTTGGGGGGGGAGGGGCAGAGAGAGAGAGAGAGAGAGAGAGAGAGGAGGACAGGGGATCCACAACGGGCTATCCTCTGGCAGGAGCAAGCCCGACGCGGGGCTCGAACTCACAAACTGTGAGATCATGACCCAAGCTAAAGTAGGACGCTCCACCGACAGCCACCCACGTGCCCCAAAAGCCAGATCCTCTGGATTTTGGACCTCGGAAGGACATCCACCGTAAGCACTTCCTAACAAACTTTTTTCCATCTTCAATTTGTCTCCAGGACAAATATACATGCACGTTCACCTACGCTTCTCAAGGAGGGACCAACGAGGTGAGTTGTTCCAAATTCCACGTAGTTTTGTATGGCGGTATCCGTTGTCGTGGAGAAATGCTCTGCAGGGAACAGTAGAGGTGGGTCACACCCACAGTAACTCACACTCGTGGAACTGTTCTTGTGTCACCCATGAAAGAGCATCCTCCGGTTCACTAACGACGGCAGGTTTCCCCCTATAATTCCACACAGTGAACAAAAGTCTGGATGCGAAGAGGCACGTGAGGTGCGGCTCTGTTCCCGGGAGCCTCTGTCAGGGGTATTTTGTTTGCCTTCCGTGGCAGCCTGGTGGTGACACCTTGGTTTGGACTTCTGGACTCCAGAACCGGGAGGGAATACAGCGTAGCGGCTGTAAGGGAGGAGGTTTGTGATACTTCGTTCCGGCCGCCCCGGGAAATCACGCCCGCGGCCACAGACTACAAAACAGCCAGGAACGCACGCACCAGTACAAAGAAGAACTCCGAGAATAAGGCACTGGTTTATTCAGGAGGGAGAGCTTCAAGGGTTCGGGAAGAGGCGCAAACAGACTTTCTCAAAATCGGTAGAATTAGAAGAAAAAGGGAAGAGTTCGTCGTCCCTGTAAAAATCAGTAAACAGCATCTCCCTGTATCCCTGATTGTGCTTTGCTCCCAATCAACCAGACTTTGGGGAGAGCCTGCTCTCCTTCCAGAACAGTCTGTGGCATTGTGTCGCCCTACTGTGGCCGTTTATCGGGTGCCATGCGCTGTGCTGAGCCGTGCACACGTCTCATTTTTTCCTCTCCACGGCCCCAGGAGGCCATACTGTTCTGCCATGACCTAGTTTCACACACGAGGACACAGAGGCCCGGATCCCCCAGTTGGGAGAAGTGACCGAGGTCCCCAGGGCATACACCCCTAACTACTGCTCTGTGCAGGAAACACCAGCAACTTGGAAAAGAGCGCGTGCACACACACACACACACACACACACCCACCCACCCACCCACCACCGATGAAACTCTCAGAGCTACAGCATTGGGGGAGGGAGAGCCAAGTTCAGTGGCGCCGGCTGGGGTGACTGTAGGCTGGAGCCTTGTCTTGGAGTAGCCGTTGCGTCACAAACTGGAATTCCAGCCCTGGGCTGCTTTCGTTCATCTTGGAGGAGGGGGCTCATCCCGGAGGAAACCACCTAAGAAAAGCAGGTGTGCTGTGGTGCGGACTCGTTCCAGGAGCACCCGTCGGGAACTGTGACCGAGATCACAGGTAGCCGGCTGCCGGGGCGGGTGGCGCTGCGGGAGCCCGACGGGGCGCTCGGTGGCTGCTGAACGTGGCTGGCGCCCAGGACCCATGGGCTCCCCCCCCCTCACCAGCGAACGGCTGGCCGGATTCTCAGCGGATGTGCAGGGATGGTTTGAGACGTCCTGTGGGTTCTACCTAGCGACATACAGGGCAGCACAGCAGAGGTGGCCCTCGGAGCAGCTGGAACGGCAGTCCGGGGGGCCGTCGCGGCCTCTCTGCAGAAGCGTCACCAGCAGAGAGAAGAGAAGAAACCCCGATTCCTAGCCGGCTCCCAGTGCCCCGCTCTCCAGCAGCTCGGACCCGAGGCGTCTGAGGGGGAACAGCCAGTGGTTCGTTCTGCAGGGGGTCGCCTGGGAGGCCGGTGCTGTCGGGTGACATTAGATCCGGGGTGACTCCTAATCTCTCAGTGCCCGCCAGGAGGCCCGGCAGCTGGAGCGCTTGGCCGTGGCCGGTGGGGATGCAGAGTGGCCATTTCTTACCAAGTCAAATGTACACTTGCCCTGTAACCCGGCACTTCCGCTGCTGGGGGTCTGCCCGCTGGTAACGTGCACGACCGTCACAGCAGCGGGATTGACAGTGGCCAACGAGGGAAACAGCCCGAGTGTCCGTCGGCAGGTGAGTGGATACACGCAGTGTGTCCGCCACGCACGCAGGGCAACATCACTTGGCCACGGACAGCAGCGAGGAGGCGCCCACACCCGCTGCCCCGTGAGGGACCCTGAACACACGACGCCCAGGGAAGGAACCAGACACGAGAGGCCCCAGAGTATATGATTCGACTTATGTGAAATGTCCAGAACAGGCTCATCCACCGACAAAGAAATGAGTTCCAGCTGCCAGAGACTGGGGAGATGGGGTGTGTGTGTGTGTGTGTGTGTGTGTGTGTGCGCGCGCGCGCGTGCGCGTGGGGGAGGGGTGACTGCCGAGGGAGATGGGGTTCTTTTCCGGGGAGGCGGAATGTTCCGGAACTAGGTCGTGGTGATGGGATGCACACCTGGGAACGTGCTAGAAAACACAGACTTGTTTGCTTTAGAAAAGTGAAAGGTCCGGTACGTAAATATTACCCAACGAAGCTATTGAACAAGTGACCTGTGGTCGCCCGCAGCAGCGTGGGTGAGCGTCCGGGGCCGCGTGCTGAGGGGAAACCTACACAAGACCTGCCTACTGCCTGGTTCCTCTCGGAGGACGGTTTTGTAAAGGCCCAGCTCTGAGATGGGAGATGAGGTCCGCAGTTACCAGGATTTCGTGGGGAGGGGTTAAGTGCAGAGGGAAGGGGCCGGGGGATTCGGGGAGACAGGACTGGTCTGTACCTTGATGGGGTGGGGGACACACAACCGGAGGCGTTGGGCTCTGTCATGTCCCATCTGTCGTGTGTGTCCTAATAAAAACTGCTAGCAGCTGCCACTTAGGCGTCCTCTGTCACACCCAGCCACTTCTGTGCCCGGTTCCCCTAGCTGCACAGACAAGGTCCCAGGGGCTCAGGCTGTCCCAGAACACTCACGAGCGTCTGATGCCAGAGCTGGAGCCTTACCAGCTGCCCACCGTGCCAGCCACGCGACCACAGTCAAGTTCATGTAACCACAAGGTCACTCACAGTTGACCCTGCTGCTTAGAAGCTCTTGGTTTTAAACTGGGTTGGCGTTCATTTTTTCAAAAAAAATTTTTTTTTCAACGTTTATTTATTTTTGGGACAGAGAGAGACAGAGCATGAACGGGAGAGGGGCAGAGAGAGAGGGAGACACAGAATCGGAAACAGGCTCCAGGCTCCGAGCCATCCGCCCAGAGCCCGTCGCGGGGCTCGAACTCACGGACCGCGAGATCGTGACCTGGCTGAAGTCGGACGCTTCACCGACTGCGCCACCCAGGCGCCCCAATTTTTTCAAACCATGTTTAAATGTTTGCCTCATTTTCAAGAACCTTTTCAGAGCCGTGGCAAACCTCTGTCTCACAGCATAAAACCATTTCCAGGTGCTCAGAGGCCTTGGGGCCATGGACAGGTGCTTTTAAAAATTTTTTTCAGTTTTTAATTAATTTTAGACAGAGTGAGGGCATGATCAGGGGAAGGGCACAGTGGGAGAGGAAGAGGGAGAGAGGGAGAATCTTAAGCAGGCTGCATGTTCAGTGTGGAACCCAGTGCGGGGCTCAATCCCACAACCCTGGGATCTGGACCTGAACCTAAATCAAGAGTCAGGCACGCAACCGACCGAGCCCCCCGGGCGCCCCTGGACAGGTGCTGATTTTAAACAGGGAGGGAAAAAAAAAATCTGAGTCTGCGGGTATGGCCTGCAGCTGTCCCACCAGAATAATAGGTCCCCACCTCCATGCTGCAGGCAAGCGGCATCTAGATGACCATTTACTCCCATTATAATTAACCTAAACACGGCCTTGCTCTCCTTAATGAAGACGCTCTAACGTTAAATCAGGAATGCCAGTACTCGGTGTATATTATTAGTCCCGGGAGGGGACTGCAAACTCGCATTTTACTAGCAAAATACACAGATGCCGCAGGCAGCCCAGAACCGGCCGTGGTTGTCTGTTTCCATTCGCCGGGTTTTCAGAGGCCGTGAAAACTAGAAGAAACTGTTGTTAGCGGTGTATTTGGGAATCACAACGTTTTTGATTAAAAAAAAAATTTTTTTTAGCGTTTATTTATTTTTGAGAGACAGAAGAGGGGCAGAGAGAGAGGGAGACACAGAATCCGAAGGAGGCAGCAGGCTCTGTGCTGACAGCGGGGCTCGAACTCACGAACCTCGAGATCGAGACCTGAGCCGAAGTCGGACGCTTAACCGACTGAGCCACCCAGGCGCCCCTTTAATTGGATTTCTAGAAAGCTAACACCTCCACGTCATTGAAAAAGAAAAACACATGAAAAAGCTTTCTGGTGCCTTCCGTTGTCCAGGCCCCACCCACGTCCTCCGTGTCACCATGAGTATCACAGTCTTGGCGTTTGCGCTGAGGACGTTACGGTCATTGAACGAGCATGAATATACCGTGTTGCCTTTTATTTTACTGTTTATTTTTCTTGATAGGCTTTATTTTTCAGGGAAGTTTGAGATTCACAGCCAAAGTGGGCAGAAGGCACAGATTTTGATACCCCCCCCCCCCGGGGCCCCCCGTGCGCGGCCTCCCCCGTCAATGACGGCCGCCACCAGAGGGGACATCTGTTAGAGTCGCCGAACCCGCCCTGCCGCGTCATTGTGAGTCCCGGCCCGTAGCGGACACGGGGGTTCACGCTTGGTCCCGCTCCTGTGGGTTTGGACGAACGTGTGAGGGCACGTCCCCACCGTCACGGCCTCACCGCCCCTGAGCCAGGCTCCAGCCGGCTGGCCCAGGGAAGGTTCGCTCACTTTGCAGAACCTGAAACCCACAGACTGTGCCGTGAGCAGTGAGGCCGCGGGCCCGGGACCGACCTGTGTCTTTCTCTCCCCAGAAGTGGCAGATGAGTCTGGGGACCAGCAAAGACCACCAGCACTTTACCTGCACCATCTGGAGGTAAGTCAGGGGTCCCGGGGTGGCGCCTCGCTGAGTCTGCTGTGGGTGCTCGCCTGGGGTGCTGGGAAGATAGGGTCCTACACCCCAGAGGGCGCACAGGCTGGGGGCAGACGTCACACAGGTACAGATCGGAGAGGGGGGTTTGCCACTGTGCGGGGGGTCGGTGGGGCGGGGAGGGCGCCCCAGGCAAGCGCGTGGACACTGAGGCCAAGAGGGGTGGGGCTCCCCGCCATCGTCACCCTCAGTCCCCCGCCCAGGCTTTGCAGTCCCGGAGCGCCACGAGCGAGCCACAGCCCAAGAAGGGACAGGAACGGGGGTGCTCAGCCCAGTGGGGGGTAGGGCGCCGGGGCTGTGTCGCATCGTGTCCCTGCTCCCCTGGGCCCTGTGGCCTGGAACCGACTTCTCAAGCACTGGTTGTGGGTCTGGCACAGTGCAGGCCCTTTGGGGGAGACACGGAAGTCTGGGCTGGGATGCCCCCCTCAGGGGGCTGGGGTGAGCACGGGGGGACAGATCCACAGACAGGAGATACTTGGGTTGTGGCAGCAACAGCCGTAAAAAGACATGGGGTGTTTTAATTCGCTCATAGGCGCCACCTCACAGTCCCCTGCCTGGTGTCTTACAGACAGCAGGTGCCTGCCAGCAGCGTCGGGGGATCTTCTCCCCGACGCCCTGCACTGGCCCCTGTTGGCAACAGGCAGAGGCCCCAGGGGCCAGGAGCCCAGCGTCCTAGGCAGGCCCTGCCGAGAGGAGACCCCGTCCGCAGCCCCCTGGCCTCAGAAGCGTCCCCGGGGCAAGGGGCCCCGGGGCGTCCGTCTGTCTGCAGATCACCGCCCGGCACCAGGGCGTGTGAGCACCAGCCCTCTAGGTGCCCAAGGACCTGCTGGCCGCAGGGCCACCCGCTCAGCAAGAGGTCACGCCTACCTGGGCTGGCCTCCCGGTTCCGGACACTGACCGATCAGGCCCTGGCAGCCACCAGGGCTTAGAGAATCTGGGAGGCCCCCTGGCTGGGGCCCAGAAAGGAGAAACAGACTTGTCAGTAAATGAGCCGGACGAATGTTCTAGCAAAGAGGAAAGGCGGACCCTCTTGCCTGCCCCTCTTTCGCAGGCCCCAGGGCAAGTCCTACCTGTACTTCACGCAGTTCAAGGCGGAGGTGCGGGGCGCGGAGATCGAGTACGGCATGGCCTACGTGAGTACAGGCCGCACGTGCGGGGGTGGCTGCCGCGGTTCGTGCCATCGCAGACTGCTCCTTTCAGACCACCGGCAGGGGTGGGGAGGCGGGTGAAGTGAGACAGACCTCAAGCCCCCAGGGGGAGATTCTGTAACCCGGGAGGACACGGGACGCCTCGCAGACTCCGGACCCGGACGTGTCAGGGAGATGGCACTGGGCCCAGAGACCCCTAGAGACCCTGTGGGCGGGGCAGGACACCTGGCCTCCCTCTCCTACCACCTGCCAGTCTCTGGCCGGTGCCCCCCTGCTGCCCGGGCCAACAGGAAGCCAGAGGGGAGGGGCCCACTCTCAGAGTCCTGGATGCTCAGCCCTGGGGACACGGGGCAAGGGCAGCAGCACAGGCGGGTGCTCACAGGGGGGGGGGAGGGCCCCACGTGCCTCGGCTCCCGTGACCTGTCGTTCGTGGCCCGGGCAGCCCCTTCTGCCACGCTCCTGAGCCCCGCTGCCCCCACCAGGGGCCGGCCACACTGCAGAGCCCCTCCCCTGGTCCCCCCCTTCTGCATTGAGGTCAGAAACAGTTGGAAAACCGCTTTATTGGTCCAAGAAGGGAACCAGGAGGGACAGGCGTGAAGAGATCTGTTGCCAGGAACTGGCAAGGCCCTTGCAAAGCCTGCAGGCCAGGCCGGCTCAAGGGGGGCGGGGGGGGTGGCGGGGGAGGCGGCTGGCCCTGTAGGGACTTCTACAGGGACCTCGGTCCTGCTCTGAAGGCCCACCCGGGGTCATTGAGGACAATCTCCTTTTCTTAAAGTCGGCTCCTGATGGACTTTGATCACCCCGACAAAATACCGTCCCACTCTTGAGGGCCTGATCGCAGAACTGGGGCAAACAGACACGCCGCTGATCGAATTGCTCTCTGGGGTCCTGTCTTCCTTTAAAACTCTTGTTTAGCTGACTTGAGACACAAGTCTGACGTTTAAAAATTACAGTCGAGAGGCTGCGGTGTTTGTGTCCTTTCCGTACGTTAACTGAAGGAAAAAAAACGAAGGAAATAACCTTCCTCCGAGGATCTGCAGCAGAGGCGTGACGTTTTAAGCCAGTTGACAATCTCTTAAGTGGATTAACCACCGGCTCCTCTGGATTTTGTTTCGTGCTTAGAAAAGCGTCAGGCGCCCCTTTGGTAAAAGCAGGTGGCTTTAGCCTGTGCTGCTCCGGGAAGCAGACCGGATCGTGTTCTTTCCTGATTAGAAAAGCTTCCACGGGTTCTTTTTCAGTCCAAAGCTGCGTTTGAAAGAGAAAGCGACGTCCCCCTGAAAAACGAGGAATTTGAAGTGACCAAAACAGCAGGTATGAAAGGATGGATTGTTGGGGGGCCCTGAGGGGGGCGCAGTCGGTTAAGCGAGCGGCTCTCGGTTCCGGCCCAGGGCATGATCTCCCGCTTCGTGGGTGTGAGCCCCGTGTGGAGCTCTGCGTGGACAGTGAGGGGTCTGCTGGGGATTCTCTCTCTCTTTGCCTCTCCCCCACCTGCTCCCTCTCTCTCAAAATAAATAAGTTTTTAAAAAACACTTAAGTAAAAAAAAAACAAAAAAAAAAACAAGGGATGTTTGGTGCAGACAGGCCCCAGGTACACAGGCAGAGAAGATGGGGGGGCAGGGCGCCCCCATCGGAGGGGGGGGGCTACCCCTCAGCGCCCCAGCTTATAGCCCAGCGTCTGCGGACTGTTGCCCGAACACTAGTAGTTATTTTCGGCTTCCCGGGGCAGACAGCCTCTGAGAGGGCAAAGGCGATCTGTCAGGCGCCACAGGTCACTGAGTAGGCGTGGCTGCGTTCTAATAAAACTTTATTGTGTGAACACGGAAGCGTGAACTGCCTATCCCGAAAATACCATTTTCCTGTCGGTTCTTGTTAAAGTTGTTTAAAACGTAGAAGCCACGCTTGGCCAGTCCCTGCTAGAGAACGGAGAGCGCGCGAGTCTGCTCGGAGCCCTGTGGCCCTTGGGGACACTCGGGGTCGCTCCACAGCAAGGGGTCCTGGGACACCCACACAGCCTGGCCGTCCCGGGCTCTGTGACGAGGAAGAGTTCCTGTGCTTTTCACGCAGAAGGTGTCCGCGAGGCATCGAGGTTGCTGCCTGCCCCGTGTGTCACGGGGAGGCGGGGTTACCTCTGAGGTCAGGGAGCCCCTGGTGTCCTGAGCCGTGTTGGGCTCTGCGGGGCGGGTGCTGGGCAGGAGGAGGGGTGGGAAGCTCCACAGCCGGGGCTCCGGGGAGGGCGAGCGGTTAGGACGATGGACACGGGAGTGGGGCCATGTGGTGGGGAGCCCTGAGGGTCCTGAAGGACCGCAAAGAGAAGGCGAAGGACCCCTGTGGTTGTGGGAGTCACCGGGCATAGGGATGGAGGAGGGGGGTGCAGTGAGCAGGGGTTTGGGGCATGAGGGGCCTTGGGTCTGGAAGGAGCCCTGTCATACCTGCAGGTCCTTGGAGGTGGGGGACTGTAGCGGTCAAGGACAAAGGAGGTGGGGTTGCCAGTGCAAACGGGAGGTGATGCAGCTCGGCCACCATCCATTCTCGCAGGATGACCTCGGCTCTTCCCACGCTGAGCTTTCCGGGGGGGGGGGGGGTTTCTGCTGCCCTCAGGACAGCTCCCCTGTGTCCCTCACCCAGTGGACTTCAGGCCTGGGGGCCTTTCTGTGTCGGGTCCACTGTGGGGACGGTGCCCGGGCCTGGCCCGGGGCCTGGCGCGTCTCACCCCAGTGCTTCTTCTCTTGCAGTGTCCCACCGGCCCGGGGCGTTCAAGGCCGAGCTGTCCAAGCTGGTGATTGTGGCCAAGGCATCCCGCAGTGAGCTGTGACCGGGAGCCCCCCGGCAAGGGTGGCTCTTCCCCATCCCCGCCGAGGGAGCTGGGCCCTGGGAGAGCTGGCGCGTTACTGGTCTTCGGGGGGGGGGGGGGGGGCCACTGTCGGTCGATGTCCTCTGAGCATGGAGCACGGGTCTGGGACCCACTGCCCATCTCTCTTACCGAAAGAGGCACTGACTGAGGCACTCGGTGGGGGACTCCCAGGGGGACTCCCGGCTTTTCTGAAACCAGTGCGTGCCTCCCTGTGGATCTGGCCAGGCGCCAGGTCACTCCCTGGAAGAGCGATCCTGCCGCCCTGCCTCCAAGCCTGCCGCTTTCTTGCAGTTTCCCCGGGGGACCTTCTTCCAGACTACCTGGGAGGAAATGAAGTGTTCTTTCGTATTTAAATAAATAAGACGATTGAAGAGCTACCACCCAGACTTGGCAACGGGCAGTAGGGGCTGCCTGTCTGGGCGCTCCGGGCTGGGGGCCCAGGGACGGGGCAGGGCCCGGGTGCCGGCACGCCCCTGCCTTGCTGGAGACCTGCGTCGGCCCGGGCACCTGCCCTCTCCGCGTTGCCCGCAGAAGCGCCGGGCCCACGGGGGCCGAGCGCTCCAGGGTGGTTGGCTCAGCTAATCTCTTGGATGGCGGCATGGCGACTTAAAACACCAGCGGGGACGAACACCCACAGGCAAACATAAATGAAACCCCCAAGTGTCCCAGCCACTCAGAAGGGCCCTGGTCCTCCCAGCAGTGGGCCTGGGACTGTGACCCCCAGCTTGCCCGTCAGCCTGCCCTCTCACAAGTTTCCTCTCGTGAGCACACGAGGGGAAGAGAAACCGCGAAACTGGGCTTTGGCCCGCCAGGCTGTGAATCGGATCCTTGCTAATGAGACACACCTCGTGGGCTGGCCTCCCTCGTGCCGACCTGAGCAACGGGGCGCTGCGGTGACCCCAGTTGCCAGAGAAGAGGCAGGTGTTGGGGCTCCCGCCCAAGAGCGCACACCTACAGGAGGTGGGGTAGGACCGTCACCCCGTCTACACCCGCGGCGGGCACCCGTGTCAGGAGCAATTTCAGAGCTCGGTGTGGGCGCGTGAACAACGGCTGTTTCCAGAACAAATAACAAAGGGGGACTTCGGGGGGGGCCCACTTGACCCAAGAATGGATGGGCTTTGAGGTCTGGTAAGCACAGGGACCTGTGGGTGTCACAGGGACCCCGGTGAGGGCCGCGAGCCTCTGCCACTCCTGGATGTGAGGCTCGATGGACTGAAAAACCAAGTGATTCTCAACAGGCCTGCGGAGGTGGATGGCTGTCCAGGGCCTCCTGCAGAGGCTGGCAGAAGGGACGCGGCCCCCGGGGCCGCTGAGGGTCACGTGGGCTGGATCCCGGCAGGAGGGACAGATGCTTCCACGGTCCGTCTGGAACCACCAAGCACGTATGAATCCCTGGGCGTCCTCAAGGATGCAGAGCCCCGGGACACAGCAGGACATCTGGACACAAACTGGCTCCTCCTCGCCCCCCCCCCTCCCCAGCCACGTCGGGGGCATCCCCTTGTAGCTTTCAGGCAAACCCGCAAAGGACCCCACGCTGGCCCCGGGGGCTGTGGTCGTGATGAGGGGCCGAACCCGACCGAGCCATACGGGACAAGCTGTGCGGGCCCGCTGGTCTGTCCCGGCGCCCGCTGGAGCGGAAAGGGAACCCGTCGGCGAGGCCCACGGGCGGGTGACGTTACACGCAAGCTCGACTTGAAAGGCAAAAGCCCCGAGCCCCGGGAGGACAGGAGAAAGCCGTCAGCCCCAGCGATTCGGTCGCCAGTTGCACGTAATGCCGACCGAAGATGTGTGCTTTTATTTGGAGAGCCGTGTCGTGCTCTTTGGTTTTTCTAAATTAAATCTCAGATTTATGGAAAGAGTCCAGGCAGGCTGGACAGCCCAGCAGGGCACAAGTACAGAGTGTTATGCACGTTGCTTGGTGTAGCCCGCATGCAAAGCCGAGGACAAAGGTGCTCATGGGGGGCTTCTCGGGTACTCAGAATGCGCGTCCCTTCCTGAATGCGAACGGTCTCCCGACGGAAGATGGGAGGACAGGTTTGCCTTCGAGGGCTGGGGCAGAGGTGGGAACAGTGGCTCTTGGGCAAGAGACCTTGGGCTTTTTCAGGGAAAAACCACACAAAGGCCACCCCGCATCTGGGGCCGTAATGGCTTGTGGGCCGTTGCAGCAGGCCGGGGTGGGCGAAAGGGCCAGGTGGGGACTGTGGCAGGCCAGGGGGGCCGCGCCCATGCGGCCTCACCAGCAGGCAGTGCAGGCTCAGGCCAAGTTTTCGAGAAAACTCCAAACCTAGATTGGTACGTGTAACTTCCTCGTTTTTAACTAATGCCAAACGTCTCGAACGACGGACGGAGTCAACCAAACCCATCTTCTGGCCTAAAAAGGCCTGCAGGCCTCCCGTGTGAAGGCTTCGCCCAACAGACCTGGCTCTGCAAAAAACGGTCACGGGCCATTTTCCCCGTCCCCGCGGGCGCCCAGAGTAGCCTTCCCGGCGCGTCAGGGGACCGGCCTGTAGAGCGTTCTGCGGCCTGTTAAAACGCGTGTCCCCCTCCGACACACAGAAGTCACGGACTCACTCCCACACCCCACGTGCCCATCTGTGCCCCAAGGTGAGAGTGGCGCATCTTCCAGGGGTGTCGCCAAAGCCAGAACTGGCCGAGCTTCGCTCTCGGAGGTCTTGGGGAAACACCTGCCACCAAGCACAAGTGAAATAACCAGTTTTAAACGGGCGCGCATCTCCGATGGCTTTCCCCTTGAGCCCCGAGCAAGGGGGCACACTCCGTCTCCTCCCGCGTGGGAGTCAGGGCAGCGATCCCAACCAAATCCTCGCCCACAGCCCCCACCCCCCGCACTCTCCTGGCTGCCTGCGCTCGACCCCCAGGGCAAGAGCGGGAATCTGTGCCCTCCTAGCCCTGGAGGCGGAGGCGGGAGTCTGCAGTCGAGGCGTCCGTTGGGCTGGTTCCTTCCGAAGGCCGTTCAGGGGGCTCTCCCAGTTTCTGGAGGCCGCTGGCTGGTAGACAGCCATGCAGAGTCTGCCCCCACCTTCACACGGCCTTCTCTGTCTGAATGTCCCCTTACGAGGACGCCAGTCATGCGGCATCAGGGGCCCGCCCCCACTCCAGCGTGACCTCAACTGATTCCATCGGCGAGGGCCCGATTTCCAAACAAGGGCGCATTCAGAGGTTCTGGGGGCTAGAACTTCAACCCAAGAATTTGGGGAGCTGCAGCTCACCCCCCCAACACTCCCTTTCTTCCCGTTCACCACGACCCTGTCGGAAGGAACAGGCAACATCGTTAACATGACGAGGTGGCAGGTGCCAGCCTTCAGAAGGATCGAGGGAGTGTAGGGGTGCTGGGGGTCGGGTCAGGCAGGCCTGGGTGGGCAGCAGCCTCGGGGTGCGTGGGGAGGCCGCGCCCCCGCAGGCTGAGCTCTTCTCCTGTTGAGACGGTGCGGGAGGAGGGGCGACCAGAGTCCTTAAAACCGCCGCCTCCAACGGATCAGCCTCCTCTCGGGGGGGAAGGCCGCCTGTCCCGGGGATTTGGCCAGAATCGGGCGGGAGAAAAGAGGTTCTAGAACGACCCCACCCCCCCTCCCCCCCTCAGGAAACCCCGGGCCGGAGGTCATATGCTGTCCTCGTCCAGCATCCGGGTGAGGCCCTCGCAGATCCGGCGCAGGTGCGAGCGGTAGGGCTCGGCGGGGCCGTAGAGCGCGGCCAGGAAGTCGCAGTCGGCCAAGTGGCCGAAGACGTGGTTGATGCGGCCGTGGGACTTGGCGGTCAGGTGCGCGCCCACGGCCTGGTGCAGCAGGTCCCGGCACTCGTGCAGGCCGGCGGCCAGCACGCGCCGGTCGAAGGTGAAGTCCACCTGGTGGAAGCTGACGGCCGTCATGGCGAGGCGGCGCGCCCCCTGGCGGAAGCGCTGCAGCAGCGCCAGCTCCTCGCCGCCCAGCTGGCCGCCGCGGAGCAGGACGCCCAGCTTCACGGCCACCTTGACCAGGTTCTTGACCATCCTCTGGGCCTCCTTGCGGCTGCGGGTGAACTCCTTGGTGGCGCGGTACAGCTCGTCCAGCACCTCGCCGCTCGCGTCATCGATGAACGCGGCCACCGTGGCCTTGGACGCCATCTTGCCCAGCAGCTTCTTCTGCGCCTGCAGGGCCAGGCTCTTGGTGCTGAACGTGTCCATCCGCCCTGCCAGGGGGAGAGGCAGAGGGTCGTCAGTCCCCGCGGCCCGTCAATTCCGGGGACCTTCCCGGAGGGCCCCTTTGGAGTGCTACCGCGTCATCCCAGTCTGTGAAATGGGCCCGAGCCTGCCCAACCCACGAGCCCGCTGCGCGGCACACGACTGGGTGCAGGGCGGGGGCACGTCGGCCGCGACCGGGAGCCACGCGATGCCACGGTGTGGGCTGCCCAGAGCTGCCGGGCACAGGCAGGCCTCCCGGAGGAAGCGACAGGTGACAAAGCGGGCGGAGGGGCACTGCCCGGGCCGACAGAGCTTCAGGCCTGGAGGCGGGCCGTTTTGTCTCTCTGTTTAAGGAAGCTCTGTGCCCAAGGCGGGGCTTGAGCTCAAGACTCTGATGTTCGGGGCACCTGGGTGGCACGGTCGGTCGAGTGACTCTTCGTTTGGGCTCAGGTCATGGTCTCGGGGTCGGGGGATCGGGCCCCACCCGACGCTCCGCGCCGAGCGGAGAAAGATCCTCTCTCTCTCTCTCACACCCTTTCCCCACTCTCTAAAAAATAAAAATAAAAGTGAAAAAAAAAAAAAAGGAAGGAGGGTGACATCTGGGCAGGATGTTCTGAAGGCCACCGCTTGCGGCCCGGCACCAGCCTTGCTGCGGGGTTGAGGAGGACCTCACGGTGCGTTACGACAGGTGGATTCCAAGCCCCTGAAGTCCCGCCGGGCATTCCCCGCCCGCATCCTGCAGTGCAGTGAGACGGGGTCCCAGGCCCCAAGCTGTTCAGAGTGGCGGAGCCCAGTTGTTCCCAATCCCGCAGCCTTACTGGCCCTGTGCGTTTACAGCAGACGGCCCGAGGCCCGCCTCCGGCGTGGGCAGCATCCTGGGCTGTGGGGCCTGGGGGGGGGGGGGTCACGAGTGAGGTTTCTAGAAACATTGTTCCAACGCCGCCGCCGCCTGTGATATGGAAACACTGACCTGTGACAGCTCCCACCCTTCCTGGGCTGGGACAGTGGCAAGGTGCGTGGCAGTCCAGCCCTAGGTGAACAGGGACCTGTCTCCATGTCAGACTACTGGATTCCCCAAGCTCCGGAGCCTCCCTCCAGCCGCCTCCTTCCTATAGTGCCAGAATCTTCCTAAGCTGCACATCTGAGCATGGACCGTTTTCTTCTGAGGACGCGGGTCCCAGGACCAAGCCCCACACCCCATTCAGATCCCGGCATCTTTGCCGGCAAACTCCTATTCATCCCCCAAAGCCCTGGCCCCTGAGCCCCGGCCTCTTCTCGAAGTTTCATCCCTTAGCTCCGCTTCGATACTGTCTCCTCTAGGAAACCATCCCCGAACAAACCCACGGTGAGGCACGGCCTCTGGGCCACACAGTGCCCCTCCGTCCCCCATCACTGCTCCGCCCCTGCCCCGGGCTTCACTCCCCAACCGTCCCTTGTCACCCCAGCCCACGGGGGAGGGAAGGGGCCTGATTCCCTACCTGCTGTGTCCTTGGAGACTCCAGAAAAATGAATGAGGCGAGCCTGAGAGCCACCTCCGGCCCTCACCCATCGCCCCAGGCCCTGGTCGAAGCCACCCCCAGGCCAGCCGGACCAGGAATGCCCCGTGGGTGCCCACTCAGCCCAGAGCCCCCACAAAGACCATCTTTGTGCGAGCTCACACCCCGGGAGAAGTCCCCTCCGCCTGCGCTGCCCTCAGAGGTCAGGGTGGCCACGGCGAGGACTGGACCGCCTTCCCTGCCCCCCACACCAGTCACCAGACCCCGGGGCTACACGGGCCTGGGCCAGAGCAGGGGTGCTGCTGACTCAGCACCACGGGGCAGGCCCTGAGCCGGCAGCGTGTGACCGTTTCCTCATATCCGCCGGGTATTAGGCTGGCTGCCAGTTTGTTGAAGAAATGACACAGGCTCAGAGAGCCCGAGCCACGGCCCCAAGGCCACACAGCAATACCCTTGACCGCCCACCTCTGCGTGCCTAACTTCCTCCGCCTTCCCCGCTTGACGCCTGCAAATCACCCGAGTTTCTCGGGCACCCGGAGCTGTGTCAGCCACAGATCCGGCCCCCCGGGGCCCGACTGCTTAGCCAAGCAACATAACCGCCCCGTGCCTCAGTTTCCCCATCTGTAAAATGGGGAAGATAGAACTCTGTCCTAGGGCAGAAGGTTGTGGCCCATCCAATGGCCGAGCCCCCCCCCCCCTCCACCCAGGCTGCGAGCTTCCCTTGGGCCAGAAGCTAGATGCCACGGCCTAGAATTCCGCCACTCAAGCTCCCTGAGTGGACACACCTACTTCTCTGTCAGACTCTCTGGAAAAAGAGCGGCTTGGCACAAGGGGTGCCCGTGCCTCCCTGCTGCCTCCCACCCATTTCTCTAGAATGTTCGGTCCCGTTCCCTCTACCGGGGCCCCTCCTCTCCCTATTACTCATCCTGTAAACTGCTCATCCAAATCTCAGTGTCACAGTCACCTCCTCCTGGAAGGCTCCCTGGATGTCCCAGGCTGGGCCAGGTGCCTGGCGGCTCCCGTGGCGCCCTGGCGTGCTCCATTTTGGCCTCGTGCCCTTCGGTTTCATTGCTCATCTCCCTGGCCTGACGGCGCAGGCAGGGACCGGGTCTCCCTTGTGCACACCGTGCCTCCAGCAGTCAGCCCGGGGCCTGGTACACAGCGGGCACCCCGCAAGCGTTCGTTGAATGCATGCGGGAAAGGATGTCCGCGAACGCAAACGAGAAGAAACCCCAAGGTCCTGAGTCCAGTCTCCCCAGCTTACAGATGAACAGACTGAGGCTCAGAGAGGAAAAGGCCTTTCCCTGGGTCCAGGGATGAGGCCAAGGTACCTGGACCCTAAGTGCCCTGGAGCCCTGGTCTTGCGGCCTATCTCAGTCGCTGTGTGACCCTCGGGAGGATTCCATCCGTCTCTGGGCCTTGGCTCTCCAATCTGCCAAGTCCTGAGGTGGGATGTGCCGGGAGGGGAGCTGGGCCCTGAGCAGGACCTCCCTCCTAAGCCCAGAAGGAAAAGGGAGCCTCCCTCTCGGCCTCCACACTCCTAACCCCTCCGGCCAGTCCCCAGACCCGCTGACACCTGGGCCAGCCCGGCTGCGTGACCCCCCCCCCCCATCCCCGACCCATTGTTCTGCCAGGAACCCCCCATCCACGCGGCCAGACAGGGAGATGACTACTGTCCCGGGGGAGCGGGCCACAGACTAAAATAGACCCCGGCCTTCCTTCCTTCCTGTGCACTCACCCAGGTCTGAGGGCGGGCAAGCCAGGAGGCGGCCAGACGGCCACATCAGCCCTTCTGGGGCGGGGCCTTCCCAGGGACTGCCGAGGGGCTCGGGGACCAGACGGTCAAGTGTCCACAGTCCCTGATCACCAAATGCCAGGGCACCCCACTGTCCTCGAAGCTGAAAAAGCCTGCTAAAGGATCAAGGGCATGGCTGGACCATTCACTCGGTCACTGTATGAGCATTTATGGAGCACCAACTGTGTCCCAGGCACTGGGTTTACTGGAATGACTAAAAGAGCTCCTGTCCCTGCCTCCCGGGGGACCCCAGCCTTCTAGAGCCAAGCCACCTCGTCACTCACAAAATACTTTGGGAGGGGGCACCCAGCTGGCTCAGTCGGGAGAGCGTGCGACTCTTGATCTTGGGGTCGTGAGTTCGAGCCCCACCTTGGGTGTAGAGATTACTTAAAAACAAAATCTTTTTGACATAAATAAGTCTATGAAACAGATTGCGATAAAGGTGGCAGGCAGCCTGAGGCAGACGGATCAGGGAAGGGGTGTGGAACATTCCATGTTCTGTACAAAATGTTTGTACAAGTGCAAAAAGCCATCAGGCTGCTGTGGTTGTGCGACTGTGTGATTATGCTGCAACCCGGCAAGCTGCACACTTTGAAAGGGTAAGTTCTACGGTCATGTGAATTAGATCTCGATCACACACACACACACACACACACACACACACACAAACACACACCTGTAACCTTTCTCCAAAGAAGATCCATGAATGGCCAGCCAGCAGCTGAAAAGATGCTCAGCATCATTGGCCAGTCGGGAAATCACGATGACTTCACCCACCCCCACCCCCCACCCCCCACCTCCCCGCCAGGATGGCGGCCGTCGCAGCAACGGACAACGGCAAGCGTCAGCAAGGGTGCGGAGACACCACGGCCCTCGGACACGGCTGGTGGGAGTGGGAAACGGGGCAGCTGCTGTGTAAACCGGTTTTCCGGCAGCTCCTCAAACACCCACAGACTTACCCCCAGGACCCAGCAATTCTGCTCCCAGGCATCTGCCCACAAGACGTGGGAACAGAGAGCCATGCAGACCGTGCACGCACACGCGCACGGCGGCGCGGTTCACGTGGCCAAGGGGTGGCGTCAACCCAAGGGGCCGCCAGTGGGTGAAGGGACAAACAGGGCGTGTCCGCAGCGTGCTGGAATATTGCCCTGGAACGTCACTCGGCCGCGAGCAGGAGCAAGGCGCCCACCCCCGCCGCCCCGCGGACGGGCCCGAACACACGCGCTCAGGGAGGGGACCCGACACGAGAGGCCACACGGGCTGTGAGCCCGCGGGCGTGAAACGCCCAGAACGGGCTCGTCCAGGGACGGGAAGGGGGCTCGTGGTTGTCAGGGGCTGGGGAGGGGGTGATGGCTGATGCGGATGGGACTTCATTTTGGGGAGAGGGAATATTCTGGAAGCTGAACACTTTAAAGCAGTGAATTTTATATGACGATTACATCTCCTCAAGCCAAACACTTCATATATATATATATATATAAGTGTATATATTTTACACCTCTGTGCCCCTTCCTGTATACATTTTAGGCCTCATTTTTTAAATGTTAAATAAAGTTATCAGGATTTGGCCCATATTGTGGCACAAATAAAAGGGTGGCTCGAGTTGAGATCTGTAAATCACTTCCACCTTGCCAGGCACACGGCGGGCACCCGCGGATACGTGGCTGATCGAAAAGGACTCCCTCCTGGCAAGGTCAGGCCCCCGCACTTGAGGACAGAGCATCTCTTACAGGTTGGCATAGGGGGCGTCGCGGTGACCTTGTAGCTACAAATTCCCATCAGAGAGCGCCCCCACCAGGCGCCTGGCTGGCTCAGTCGGTTAAGCATCCAACTCTTGGTTTCGGCCCAGGTCCCGATCTCACGGGTTTGTGACATCGAGCTCCAAGTCAGGCTGCACGATGGCACAGTGGCACCTGCTTGGGATTCTCTCTCTCCTTCTCTCTGTCCCTCCCCCAGTCGTTCTCTCTCTCTCTCTCTCTCTCTCTCTCTCTCTCTCTCAAAATAAATAAACTTAAAAAAAAATTTTTTTTAAGTTAAAAAATAAAATAAAAGCGTGCAAAACCCCACTCGGTGGTTTATGCTTTTGGCAGAACGTTAGGAAGTGGGGGCCCGGGGGCTGCTCCAGGCACGTGGCTGGCTGCCTCGTGTCTCTGGTCCCTGTCCAACCCCCCCCCCCCCCCAGTGCCCAGAACATCCTGTTATCATCACAAGCAAAAAGAAAGCCCTCCAAATCTCCAAAAAGGCCCCCAAGAGGCATCTCCTTTGCCAGAAGGCAGAGACACCAGAACCCAGTGAACACAAAACAAACAGGGTAATTTCAGAGAGAGAGGGGCAAAGGGGGGTGGTGACAGCCAGGGACAGCAGGTGACCTTGGCCAGGGTAGTCAGGAAAGCCTCTCTAGAGGTGGAGCTGCTGGAACTGGCACCTGGAAGGACAAGGTCTGGGGGAAAGGTGAGCCAGGCAGAGGACATAGCTAGTGCAAAGGCCCTGGGGCAGGACTGTGCCTGGGTGTGTCAGAGGAGCAGCGAGGAGAGTGAAGGCCACCGTCCAGGTCCTCCCACAGCCCCGACCCCTCCCCACTGGGACTCCACACAGGCCCCATGCCCTTGGGGGCAGCTTTCCTATCTGAAATGGGTGTCCAGGTACAGAGTCCTTGGCTCTGTTGACTCTTGCCCTGCCCCAGCACTCTAGAGCCCAGTCCTCCTCTGCCAACCCCACTTTGTCTTTTGGACTGCAAGCTTTGCCCTCGTCCCCAGTATGGACACTCCAAACGCCCTGCACACTGGCCACCGACGCTGGCCTTGAACCTGCAGACGCAAAGGTCAGAGGCAGGACTGTACCTGAGCCTCCCTGGGCAGGTGCAGGGCACACACCCGTCCCCCCCAGTGGCCCCTGTTCTGTCTGATCCCCTCGGTTCCCAAACTCAGGAGCCGGGCCAACCTCCCCCTCGCTCGGGCCACGACCCCATCCACCAGTCTCCCCGGGGCTCAGTCGGTTCCAGCCTCGCCCATGCCCTCGCCGCCCCTGCGTGTGCGGCGCCTCCGGGGTTGGGGGTAGGGGGCCTTCTCAGCCTCGAGAACCCCCCGCTCCGAGAGGCTCTCCCTGACGCGGCAAACCATTCACCCCTGGTCTCCCCCGTCCAACCTGGGCTCGCTACAACCCACCCACACATGCCCAGGGCACAGTCCCACTGCGGGGGGGCCCTCAGCCCCCACACGTTGCTGGTTCGACACCCTGGGCGGGGGACAGGGATGCCCCAGGGCAGGAGATCCAACTTTCCGGCGTCCTCACTGCCCCACAGGTGCCCCGCGAAGGCGACATCCCATTCGCCGCGCGCTGAAAACTTCGTACCCGTTACCAGCTTTCCAGAAGAAACAAACGTGCCCCCGTATGTTTCTCCCCACATGAAGGACGTGCGTCCCACGATTTGCAAACACAGTAAACTATACCGGCTCTGCGGAGCCGATCGAGTCTCACCGAATGCTCCCGATGG